GTGTGTGTGTGTGTGTGTGTGTGTGTGTGTGTGTGTGTGTGTGTTGGGGGGGCGTCTTGGATGGGAGGGGCGGTGGTCCCGGGCCCTGTGGTCCCACAAGGTATGGAGTGGCTGGGTGGCCGGGGTGCCACAGTTGCAGACTGTGGACTGGCCTCCTGAGCGGGGAACTCTGGTTTTCCTCTGTGAGGCTAGCTTCCGGGTCCAGGTGCGGTGGGTCTGGGCTCCCTGCAGGCCGGTGGAGCTGTCTGTGAAGCAGGCTTGTGTGGGGGAGAGAGCCTGGGAGGGAGTGGGCGCGAAAATATGGACTCCCTGTGAGAGCAAAGGCAGCCAGTTGCCCCAGAAGGTAAGGGAGGTGATGGGGGACTGGTGGGCAGAGGATGGGAGGGGCTGCAGGGCCCCGGCTCTGTGGGACAGAGGTTGTTTATGAACTGGCTGCTCCCATGATGAGGACCCACTGGGTGGGGCAGGATGCATGGGAAGACGGGAGGGGCCATTTCTGTCACCCCTGCCCCAGTGCAGAAGGAGGCAGCCTCCCCCCGGTCCCTCCAGGAGAGACTGGACTGGAGCAGCCCTTTGGGGTTTCTGATCTGCCTCTGGGGCCCTGGTTGGCCCACTCTCTGGCCTGAGAGGCATGCCTGTGGCCTCCCTTTGCCTGCTGAGTCCAGTCCTGTGCCATTAAAGGGCTGGCAGATGCTGAGAGAGAGCAGTGGGTGGGAGAAGCTGGGAATAGGTGGGAGAGAGGGGGGAGCTGTAAAGATCTGGGTGAGCTCTTTGTCCTCACGGGCAGAGGACAGGTACATGTGGAGCCCTGAAATCCAGCAACATCACGTGCCCCGATCTCGACACCCTCACCCCAGGAGTAGATCCTTGGAGAATTCTCTCCATCAGGCAAGAAGTCCTAGGCCTGTGATTTGGGGGGACTCTCTAGGATGGGGGTCTCCAGTTTCAAGTCCCTACTCAGCCACACCCTGTCCTGGTCCCCAATGACTGATTGATCATGTCAATTGGATAGAAGTCAGTGCCAGAAGTCATGGTGAAGCTGAAGATTAGAGGTCGATATGAGGTCAAGGGCCAGGGGTCATCAGTCCGAGGGCAAGAATGGGTCAGTGCATGGGCAGGGTTAAGGATCTGTGTCTGTGGGTAGGGTAGGGGTCAGGTTGGGGCCAGAGTTTAGCCTGTGCTTGTAGTCAGGAAATGAAGTTACTTTCTGTGTAAATCAAACTGCCCCACCCAATGATTCTTAAACCCAAGCAGCAGTAATCTGAAATTAACAGGCCTCTGGGACAGCGTCTTCCTCACCCCATTTCCAGCCACGGACTCTGCACAGACATACAGCTTTTGGGAGCGGAGGTGGTCCTGAGCCCCATGTTCATCATTCTCCTTAAATAGTTCTGAGTGTGTGTGCATGATGGGGGTGAGGGGGCATGTCCTGAAGACAGATGGTGCTGCCACTCCCTCCACCTCCACCTCTCAAGGAATCAGCAGGATCCTCCTTTTAAAAAAAATATTTTTTATTGATTTCATAGAGGAAGGGAGAGGGAGAGAGAGATAGAAACATCAATGATGAGAGAGAATCATTGATCAGCTGCCTCCTGCATGCCCCACACTGGGGATCGAGCCCACAATCCAGGCATGTGCCTTGACCAGGAATTGAACCGGGACCTCCTGGTTCATAGGTCAACGCTCAACCACTGAGCCATGCCAGCTGGCAGAATCCTCCTTCTTTAACACAAATTGATTCCGGTCTTCCCTCCCTCCCTAAAGAATGAAGAATGACTAGAATAAACTCTCAATAAGACCAAAATCTTCTAAGAAGAGAAATTCAGAATACACATCATGAAGGGAAAGAATACTACTCACATCTGTCCAACTCCCTGCCTTTTGTCAACCACCTACTTTTTAAAAAACATATTTTTATTGATTTCAGAGAGGAAGGGAAAGGGAGAGATAGAAACATCAAATGGCAGCCTCCTGCACGTTCCCCACTGGGGATCAAGCCGCCCTTGACTGGAATCGACCCCGGGACCCTTCAGTCCCCAGGCCGATGCTCTATCCACTGATCCAAACCGGCCAGGGCTCAACCACCTTTTTTACCTGAACTTGATCCTCACAAGCCCCCTGTGCGACCCATTTTGCAGAAAAGGCACCAGGGCACAGAGAGGCAACCAGGATACACTCCACCCAGATGCCATAATAGGTCCTTGCCAGCCCTGAGACCCCAGAGTAAGACACTCAGTGAATCACACACTCAGAAATGAGAGGTAACTGGGCCAGCTTCAGACAGCTGGTGAGATTATAGGCACTCAATTTAGATGTGGAATCCAGCTTAGAGTGACGACTCCTAACTCTTTTTTCCTGGTGGTTCTAGATTGTTTCTCCTCCAGGTATAATCGCCTTGGTCCAGAAAATCCATCCATTCATTCAACAAAGTGTTTCTCCGGCACTTAGCTCAGAACTTGGCACAAAGAAATGCTCAGTAAATTTTTGCTGAAGAATTGAAATGATGTACAAATAGGGCTGCCAGCTTCTCCTTTGTGGCCTAGATCCACTGTGTGCTGGTAAATGTTTTACAGTCAACACTACAAAAGGGAGAAAACCCTGATTTGTAGTGTTTGCCAATTTCTGTGGTGTAAATGCTCCCACCATGGCTGATTTCAAGCTACCAATGTGATGTCAATGAATGTGGAATTGGGAAGAGATGTAGAGAATCTGCTTTTGCCAGCTGGTGGGAATCAGCTCCAGCATGCCACTCCATCACCCTGAACTGGGCTCCTGTCCCTGGCTCTCAAAGCCTGTACACACCCCATCTATTTGCTTTCCCTTTCTCAGCATCTCTGTGCTCGGTGAACGCCCATGACCCGCCCCTGTCTTTCCCCCTGATTCTGATTCCTGGACATCCAACTTTGCACCTCCAATGATAGCAGGATTGAATGTATCTGGAAATCTCCATGGTGCTGGCCATGTCGGAGTATCCTGGACATGCCTGGATGTCTGTGCATGACAGGGCTGAGTTGTGTGAACTGTGCATTAGCAAGGATGTATATGTGTGTGTGTGTGGGGGGGGGGGGGTGGCGGGGGGTATGACAGTGCCCACCTGTGTCTGTTGGTGTTCTATTAGCAAAACTTCCTGGCTACAGAGAGGGAGTGGGCTCTGGGCAGCTCCCCTTAAGCTTTTTGCTCCTCCGGGTATTGCCCATACATCAGCTCCTGATCTCAGCCACCTTCCTGGAAGTGCTAGCTCCATCCGCCTACCCTCTGCTCTCTCCTCACCTAGGCTTACCTGACTCCCACCCCTTCTCATCATTCCACCCAAATGCAGCCCTGGGCCATTCACTCAGTTGTTTCCAGTCTCGTCTAACAACTGAGATGCCATGAAACCACAGCAGGCATCTAGGTCTCCTCGGCCAGCCCACCTTCTGGAGTCAGCCTTTATGCGAAGGGTCCTTTCCCTTCCCTTCCCCCACTCTGCTTTCTGCCAATGACCCCCAGACACACATCTCCACCTCAGCTTCTCCCTGACCTCTAGAGCATATATCCTCTGGCTCCTCTGGCAGTTCCTGAACTCCAGCCAGAACACTGCCCCTTGCGCCCTGCAGGCCTGTGTCTGTGGGTAGGGTAGGGGTCAGGGGAACTTGCCCTTCTCCAGTGTTCTCCATCTCACCACCCACCTGCCAGTTTGAATCAGATACTGTCATCCTTGACAACTTCTTCCTAATCCCCATATCCAATCCTGCCACCTCCATCAGCCCTGTTGGTTTTAACCTCTAACTTAATTGTACCTACTTCTGTTTCAAGATACACAGCCATGAGCATCATCAGTCACCTGGAGCCCTGATTGGGCTTCTGCTTCCATACTGTCCCACTGCAGCCCACACCCCCATGCAGCCAGAGGAACTTTTAAAAACGCAAATCCAGTCATGCCCCCACCTCCACTCTGCCACTTCAAAACTTTCAAGATTGCCCAGCCAGTGTAGCTCAGTGGTTGAGCATCAACCTATGAACCAGGAGGTCACGGTTGAGCCCTGGTTGGGGCATATGCCATGGTTGTTGGCTCGATCCCCAGTGTGGTGCCTGCAGGAGGCTGCCGATCGATGATTCTCTCTCATCATTGATGTCTCTATCTCTCTCTCCCTCTCCCTTCCTCTCTGAAATCAATTTAAAAACTATATTTAAAAAAACGTTCAAGATTTGCTGTTGCCCTTTATGTAAAACCAAATCTAAAATAGGGTCCACGAGGGCCTGCCTGCAGGGCCGGGCCAGGCCAGCCCCTCTCTCCAGCCTTACCATGTTCTCCTCTCTGCCGCGCTTGTAACCAGCTGTGACCTTGACTGCATCATTTGTAACATCAAATCCACTTGGGTGTTTATCTGATTACTAGTGGCCCAGTGCATGAAATTCATGCACGGGGGGTGTCCCTCAGCCCAACCTGCACCCTCTCTAATCTGGGACCCCTCGGGGGATGTCTGACTGTGAGATCAGGCCTAAACCGGCAGTCAGACAACCCCCTCGCAATCTGGGACCGCTGGCTCCTAACTGCTCACCTGCCTGCCTGCTTGATTGCCCCTAACCACTCTGCCTGCCAGCCTGCTCGCCCCCAACTGCCCCCCCTGCCGGCCT